CAATGAGAGATAAAGAAAGAAAAAAGAAACTGGTTAAGCGCAACAACCATTCGGCAACCGTCGCGAATTATTTCCAAGGAAATATTTGATATTCGAGCTTTTCGTTAAAGAATATTCTCTTTCATTTCATGAAGCTATATTAATGAAGGCACCTCTTTTTAATGACACAATTTTTGTGTGCTATTATATGCATTATAAAAGTTCTTCTTAATTAACACAAATTTCCAAAATGTAAAATAATACGGAATAAAAATATTATTATATGTTACACCTCGTGTACATAATTAATATAATAGTTATAATTATATAATTATAATAGTCTTATACATTGTTATTAAACAGCATTATTATAAAAACAGAATTAATTCTCTCACGCAATTGTCTTCTTAATGAATAAAAATTATTTTATGCATCCTAAATACGCAAATAAAAATGTATGAAAATATAATGTCCAGAATTGAATTATAGGTCTTCTTCTGGGAGAAAATTTAAAAATAAAATAATCGGGGCGCGAATATGACACCGAAGTGTTTGAAATCCACCGATTTGGAACTTGAAAACGAATCTCGAGTGTCGGCCATTATCGACGCGGAGAACATTGAACGTGTTTCCATGGGGAGATATAGTCTCGTGCTTTAAGACGCACCCCGGTCGAATCAATGACGCGATCTACTTGGGCAACGAAGTGAGAAGCGACGAGTCTCCTTGAGGACGAGGGAGTCAGCAAATTGGCGAATTGGGCCGACAGCATGCGGGCCGTTGTTGAGTGGAAGCCACGTGCCTTTCCATATATGTGTAGAGTGTCTGTGTATGTGTCTGTATGTGATGGAAACCTCCTAATAGCTTCGGACGCTGCAAGGATGCAGTAGGTGTGACACATTAATCAGTAGCAGCGTTCACCGAGGTTGGACTCCAGCCATCCATGGAGCTGAATCCTACGATATACAACGTGTCTCGCTTAGGTGTTGCACACTTCCCGTGATTGCGAACATTGCAGAACAAATAGAAAAGAATGCTTCTCGTCAGAGCACCAAGATATTGGTAGTTCTTAAGCTATGTGCGATTGAAGGCTTATAGAATTATACTGCATGAAATTTCGTGAGAGTAAAGTAGCAGTAACACATTTTTTTATTTTTTAATTGTCTTATTTGAAATGATATTACATATATTTTAAAAGAATTCTAACTTGAGATTTAATGCGCAATATATCATATTAATACAGAAAATTAAAAAAATTTACGAAATAGGGTTTTTTATTTCCAAAATAAGAAATTTTTTAAGTTTTCGAGCGTTGCAAATCCTAAATGGAGTGATATAATTTATAATATATTAATGTAGAAAATTTAGAAAAATGAATGAAAAAGAAAGGCGTCTTATACATATTTCTAAGATAAGAAGTTGAACTTTTCAAAGGAATTTATAATCGTGAAGAAATGCGCAATGTCTGCCACTTCAAATATAGCGCCAAATTTCCCATCTCACTGGAATTTCACGAGGCTCACTTCGTCCTCCTTGGATCGGCACCATTATGAATTTCCGTTTAGATGTGTGCGGGATTCCGCGCGTGACATCCTTGGCATTAGCCTGGTAAACGCATCTTTGATCTAGGTAGTAAATTACTTATACAATTGCATACACATTTCTGCAAACATAATTTCTTTTTATCAAAAAAAGAAGAGATTTCTTGAAATCGATTTATAAATAAAATCTTTGGGACGCGTGCGAGTTTTAATACACAACAATAAAATGAAAAGTGATAAAATAAAACGACCAATGCACTCGGATATTTTCTTTAACTACGTTGTAAAAAATCATTAAAAATTATTATTAAAAATTATTTATAATAAATATTCTTTACAACTTTACATGATTTTAAGTTACATAGTTTTATTCTTTGGACTTTGACGTGAAAAAGAAACTTTAAAGTGAAAAAGAAATCATTCAATTATGTTAATATTAAGCGAGGATACATTAATTTAAAGTACACCGGATACGAATACCAGTTAAAGAAACGGAAAAACTATACATATATATTAGGTGCTAAACTTAATTTCTGCGGTTTTTTTTTGTTAAAAAAAACTCATATCTCGATATCAAAAGTAAAAAATACATCAATCAAAGTATTTGCCCTCGCTAGCTATACATTTTTCCCATCTTTCAGGCAATAAGTGGATTCCGCGACAATAGAACGATTGGTCTTTTGAAGCAATCCATGCGTCGATCCATTTTCGCACATCCTCGTAATTTCTGAAGTGTGTATCCACCAAGCCGTGCTACATCGATCAGAACAAGTAATAATCTGAAGGAGCTAATAGCGTTTTTCACTAACAGTGCTGGTGCGCGCTCAGTGCACTTTAAAGCCGTTGTACACAAATCGATGTACGTAAAGATGTATGTTTAATAAAAATATAGAAATAAATTTAAAAAACTGTAAAATCCTCAATACATTTTATTGTGGTATTTGATAAAATATACATTAGGTATTTTATTAATTGAGATATCTCACTTTTACATTCAGTTTAGATTAGTGTACAACAGCTTTAATGTGCACTGAGTGCGCACCAATTCTGCCAGTGAAAAACGCTATTAGTCTGGTGAATACGCTGGGTGCGGGAGAACTTCCCACTCGAGCAGCTCAATGTTTCCTTGACGACTTTTGCAACGTGTGCTTAACTTTGCGTCCATTGCTGGCTACTGATATCGATTCCCCGTGATACTTTCGTTCGGTTTGACTAGTTCATAGTAAACGACGCTTTGCATATCCCACCAAATGCAGATCATTGCTTTATGGCCATGAATATTTCGCTTTGGTGTAGATGTTGATGGTTGGCCGGGGTCCACCCATGACCTTTTGCGTTTGGGATTGTCAAAATATATCCACTTTTCATCGCCAGTCACAATACGCCACAAAAAACTCTTTTTTTTCTGTCTGGCAAGCAGAGAAATAGAGATGTTTAAGCGATTCGCAATGGTATTTTCGGTTAAGTCGTGTGGTACCCATTTTCCTTCCTTTTGAATCTTTCCCATTGCATGTAGACGTTTGGAAACAGCCATTGGAGTAACGTTTAATGCTGCAGACAATTATTAGAGCGTTTGAGCTGAGTTTTCGTCCAATAATGTTTGCAATTCGGCGTCTTCAAATTTTTTCGGTTGACCTGAGCGTTGTTTATCATTTACATCATAATCACCACTTTTAAATAGCTGAAACCATTCTTGGCATGTTCTTTCCGATCGAGCATAATTGCCATAAGCTTCGACAAGCAATTTATGAGCTGCAACTGCACTTTTTTTCAAATCAAAGTAATGAAGCAACACATGTCGAAAAAACAATTTATCACGTTCCATGTTTAATAAAAAAAAAATAGCACTGTTCGCTCAAATGAATCTTTTCACACTGAATTTTGTTGAAAAATGTCTAACCTCTAAAATGCAGCTAGTTTCAGATGTCAAAGTAAATTACACCTACAACTAGCGTCATCTAAATGTGAACCGCGGAAACTAAGTTTAGCACCTAATACATATAATACCGATGAAGATTAATATTTTATGTCGTAAAATAAAACATAAAAATGATAAAAGTAATTTATATAAAAATCTTATGTAATACTAACTATTTTATTAAATATTTAATGTAATAAATGTTCTTATTAATTCTTACAAAGCTCATCATGAAATTAGTATGTTTTATTGGAAATGTCTTTCTTGTCACGTCCTATCGTTCAGGATTACACGTTTAGAGCGAAGATAGCAGCTTCGAGAACGCCTAATACGTGAGTATTATGGCACATTTTGCCGGGATGACTAACGCGGTCGTCGCATGATAAAAAGCGAACAGACGTGAGGATCGAGAATTTACGTAGCTGCGGCAACGTAGTTCGAACCGATAAATGGTTTGAAGCCATGTCAAAGAAAGTGGGTCCAATTTAAACCTGTCCTTTGCCCAGTTAGGATCTTTCATCGCCGAATGGATCTGCGTTATGAATAGTTTCATGAGATTTACATTCCATCCTGTTTTGAAGATCAATTATGATTGTACGTTATGACAATTTGCCTCCGTTCGCCGGGATAAATTTGCAGTAATCTAATAGTAGCCAATTTCTAGAACGGACACTATCATAAAACTACAAAATATTCTCGCAATTCACGAAAGAGATTAAATAACACACACACGCGCGCGCGCGCGCATACACACATTACTTGGGGACACAGAAATTGAAATTTTATAAAATTTCCGTAAGCTGAGAATTATATAAGTTGAGAATAACTGGCAAACATCCAGCATTTTCTTAGAAATTCTGGATATTATTTTCTGTAAAAAAAACCTAATCTACTTAAAATTAAAAAAGCGCAATACACATAATAGTAGATATGTTATAGCTTAACATTAAGTAGAGGAGAAGGTGATATTATGGCATCCCAGTTAAATTTTACACAATAACTTTGTTAATAATCAATATTTAAGTTTAAAACTTAACAATTACATTCGTTAAAATGTTGTTGAATCGATCGTTGTTAATAAATCGAATGTTAAACAAAGATAAAATAATACACAGGGATATTTGAGTAACGTTTCCGAACAGCCTAGACTAGCAGCTCTAGAAGTTAACGAGAATTAAAATCTCCACCGTAATAAAGCGATGTTTATTAAAAATTTAATTAGCTATCCTCCGTTAAGCGTCGTAAATAATAACTTTGTAATTAGTTCTAATTACTATGTAAAACAGATATATATAAAATGTATTAGTTTGGTGACTAGAATAATTATGAATTTATAATGCGAATAACTAAATTAACATTTATACTAAACTTGCGTTATTGTGCATAACAGTTTGTCATCAAATTACGTTCGATCAATGGAGTATATTATTTAAATTGTGGTGAATAAGAAAGTAATCTCGTAAGACGTAATACGTAATGACAATTAAAATATATAAAGCAAACACACTTATTTAATGTTATCTATAATATATGATTGATCTCTGCCTCTTTGTTTTTTTCAGTATATGCGTTACCGTCGTTGTTCTCAACGTTCACTTCCGTTCACCACAAACGCATAAAATGGCACCTTGGGTGAAAAGAGTTTTCATACACATTCTTCCACGATTACTAGTCATGAGGAGGCCTCAATATAAATTTGAAACTAGCAGGTTGGTATTATACATGTATATTATTATATAATTACAGCATATTACTCAAGTGAATTTATTATTTATTCCTATTTTCTTAACTATCAGCGTGATAAGATCCAAAGTTTCCTCAACTTTTATTTTAAATATCGGGGGAAACTTTTATTTCAAATTTTGTTATCAATGTGTTTAGTATTAAAAATTAGAAAAAATATAGAAAGTATTAAATGTTCATGAAATCCAAGTAAATCGTTATTTCTGCGTATTATTTGCGAGACGTTAGCGATAACAATCTCAATCAGGGATTTCATTACCCGAGATTGCGCCGTATGTATAACAATAATATTATACATACTTAGCGCGACTTTAGCTTATATTCTATTCTCAGTGAGATCGCATCGCCAGTTAGTCCGCCGTTTTCCAGAACATGGCACCCGCATTAAAATTCCGCGCCCGATTGTCTATGTTTGCAGGTACACTTCCGGTAGAGTGCTAATGAGGACCGTCAGAGGAAAGGAGCAGACTTGCTATTACCCTTACCACCCGACTCAGGAAGATAGTGAAGAACATCTCACACCCAAGAGATTCCATAGCCGTCCTCCGTCAAAGGAAGATCTTTCGCCTTCCAGGTATTTACGACAATATAGAATACTTCTACTAATTAGCTTTGATCCTTATATTATCGTTGAGATTTATTACATTTATTATTTAATGATCCATTATTTTGTTGAAAGTGCTTATATATATAATTACAAGTATAAAATATCTTCTTGTCCAAAAAACTTACACAGATAAAATTATAATTATAAATTTAAACTTGAATAAAATGGCACTAAAATACTCTCTTTTTTGTGATAATGATAAAAATGTCACTCACGATACTGGAAACAACGAGCAAGAAACACAACTAACAATGTCTCCGATTGTTTCAGCCTTACAGACGGTGCGAGATTTGGAGGCAGCTGCTTGATTCATGGCCCTCCGTTACCACCGTTACGACCATTACACACCGAGTGCGAAGATCTCTCGGTCTCCGGAGACGCAGCCAAAGAGGAAGTCAAGAATACCGCACTGCGCAGCCCACCCACCTTCTCGCATTCCCGTTGTCCACCTGAAGTCCACAGGTCCTGCATCTGCGTGCGCTTCATTGCAGAGCATACCAAAATGTTAGAAGATTCGACTAAGGTAAATCTATTGAAAAAAAAATAGAGAGACATATCTTTTAATAAAAATTGTATTTGAATGATTATTGCTTTTCTCTTATATATAATAGGAAAGATCGGGCTCCGCACAAAAATTTAAACTCTCAAAAGTATTTTTAAATATGAGACTTCTCTTTATCTCATTTTTTTATGTAGAAAATTGCATATTAAAGTATTACGTATATTTAAAAATGCATTAAGAATATTTGATAAATATTAATTGGTTTTTAAGGAAAAAATGAAAATGTATTTTTTAAGGAATTACCCAAAGTGCCCCATACCCGAGGCACTATGGATCATACATTAAAAGTTTAGATAAAAAATAACAGTGATAAAAGTTGAAAAGAAATTTTAGTGGAATTTTTTGAACATGGACTATTTGTATATTTAATAAAATATAACAGACGACTATTTGAAAATTCAAACAACGACAATAGTTTAACGATGTTTTGACGATCGAGCGTTTTTACTTTAATTTGACATCATGAAATTATCTTAAACACATATATTCTACACTGAAGAGAATCCAATACCAGGGTTGAAAAAAAAAACGTCTGTATTACATTTTTTTAATATACATTTTGGATTACACACGAACAACTGGTGTCGGCTCACATTTGGGAATTCCTTTTACATCAACGTATCTAATCGTATAATTTTAATTAACTTACACAGCCTCAGCATAGTCATTGAATGTGATAAAACATAATTACAACTATTAACTATATATAATTAATAGAATAAAAAATCCATAAATAAACTTATAATATTAACTATCAATGAATAGATAGAAAATTTATAAAGGTAAAATAAAATCAATTAATGTTTAGGCTTATAAACTGCCATTCTAACGTATATATTAGTTTATTTTCTTGTGTATACAGAGTGTGACCGATGGTGCTCCGAACACTTTTAGAGCGGTATTCATAGTCGGATCTTATATTTATTACCGTCTTAAGTACAATCTTAAGATACCATGAACCAATCAGAAAGCCGATCTAGCATCTTAAAATATTACTTAAGATAGTCTTAAAATAAGAACGGATTATGAATACCGCCCTTAATATAGAAAATGATAAAATATATATCCAAAAAATGAGTGATAGTCATCAACAGATGATTATTTGTAGTATAGTAAGATGAGAAAAAATGCATAGAAACTTATACCTGACCTTCAATACATGTATCTTTTACCACAAAGATAATATTAAAGCATTTTAAATGGTTAACAATTATTTTTGCATCACAAAGATCCTTAATGGAGCGTCCTGATACAACAGAATTTAATTATTGCCATCCAGATACGAAGAATGGGCAACAAAGTATAAAACAATTGTATAATACCAGTTATATTAATCTAAATACTCTGTATTATCCTAAACAATCTATGATACCCAGTAACTCATGATGCCCCGGTTTCCCCTAATATAATAGTGCGTGCGTGCGTGCGTGCGTGTGTGTGTATCTACGTATATCTATATGTAAATATCTTAATTTATAATTAATTAAAATGAGTATTACGGTTCAATTAAAATAAATCAATGCAATAAATTAATGCCAATTAGAGCCAACACAGGATATTATTTAGTGTGAAATTTGATTTATTCATAAATCACATTTGTCATAATTACAAAGATTTCGATCCAACTTCGGATCCTTATCGATGCTAATTGCGTAAATTGAATTATAATTAAAGATGCTAATGACAACTGAAATTAGCCAGCTGAGTGTAATGATGTATCAACGATATCACTGCACTTTCTGATACACTCTGCAGCAATTTATCAAATCATTATTTTCAGTTACAATAGAAATAAAATTTGTAACACGAAAATTTGTTACATGAACGGCGAAGTAGTTTTAAGGTGTTGATATGTTGAGGAAACATTGAGGAGCAACACATCATTTAAACATGACTAAGCTGTCATATGCTTTATCCAGTAGTTCCGTATCGTTCTGTAGATTTAGGCCATTAGTTTATTGTCTAATAAAGATCATATATTTCCGAGATAAGTCTTTTATTTAATATTTTTTCCTCATCTAAAATAAAAAAAACTTATCTCGGAAATGATCTTTATTAGACAATAAACTAATGGCCTAAATCTACAGAACGATACGGAACTACTGAATAAAGCATATGACAGCTTACGTTTAGGTGATGTCTTGTTTTCTATAATTTATATTTTCTTGTACAACGAGTGTCTTTCCTTGTTTGTCTCGTCAGTTGAAACCAACGCTTGACCTGTAAGTTACAAATTTTATTTTTATTGTAACAAAATAATGATTTGATAAATTGCTGCACAGCGTACCAGAAAACGCAATGACAGCGTTGATACATCATTACTCCCAGCTGGCTAATTCCAATTGTCATTAGCATCTTTAATTATAATTCGATTTATGCAATTAGCATTGATAAGGATCCGAAATCGTTTGTGTTTGTGACAATTTATGAATAAATCAAATTTCACACTAACGTTACTGACATCCTGTGTTGGTTCTAATTGCATTAATTCATTGTATCTTAATTTATATTTTATATGTATTTCATTTGCGCAACAATTTCCACGCTCAATTCCTAGATGTTTTTTTTTATTATTTTGATTATTAAGGAGTTATTACTTTGTAAATATCTAGATTATGTAAAAAATCTAAAAATGTCTTCTCCATTATAAATCGAAAATATTCCCATGAATCAATCAAATCATTCCTCTGCGCAGGTAAAAGAGGATTGGAAGTATGTGGCGATGGTGCTAGATCGCTTGTTCCTCTGGATCTTTACTCTGGCAGTTTTGGTGGGTACTGCAGGCATCATTCTACAAGCACCAACTCTTTATGACGATCGAGTACCCATCGACAAGAAATTTAGCGAATTCGCTACCACAACGGTGGTGAAGTGTCCGCCCCAGTAGTCCATGCCTGAGCCCTGCACCGTAGAGAAAGACTAAGGACCAAAAGCCCGGACCTAGTCTTAGGAGTATTCGCAAGCTCATCTCCTTATCCTTAATGACGAAATTACGGCAAAAGGGCTCCAATTTTGCAAAGAGTGACCGAAAGTATATGATCGACGATTTCAAAGACGATGTGTGGGTTAAGCTCCTTTGAGAGAAGGATAAAAACCAGAAAAATGAAACATATTGTCGTTTGTCTGGAGAGAAAATATCGATAGAAGGGTGAGAATCGTCTCGAAAAAGAAGACGATGTATGTCGTTACAAAATCCTGAAACGAGAGAACTCGAGGTCGTCGCTTGAATAAATTGCACTCGGTATCTCCTAAACAGGACACATCGCTCGCGTGATGGGCGCGAGATTCGCAAGGAGATTTACGTACACCTACATAGTCTGCTCAAGTAAATTGTAATACGAAGCTGCCACTATTTAATCGGGTAACACATCAGGCTGACGGACGTTACGGTGTAACACTGTATAGTATAATTTTAATGTCCCAGAAACGGGGACTGAACGCGACGATCGAGCTTCCGATCTCCGCCTGTCGTTCGTAAACGCACGCGAACGGGCATTAAATTATCGTTCGAATAAAATTCGGAATAATAAATCTCGACATGAATTAAAGCTAACGCGAAGTTAATTAATGTCATACGTTCAGTCTACGTTGTAGATTTATAATCTAGAACGAGGCAGCCAATACAAAGATAGCTTTGATTGTTGATGACGTCGCGGTTGTATTGCTGCAGCATCTTGCACGGTTTACAATGAAGACTCAACGCCGTAACAAGCGTACAAAGATTTTTCTTTTTTGAATGATTTTTATATTAAACACGATATATCAATAACTCCATAGCTTGTCGCTGCGTGTGCAATTTACTGAAGCTTGAAGCTTGCAAGCTTCTGCATTACAATAAAATGCGAGTAAGAAGCTGCAGTACATCATCGCAACACAATTGACAGCAATCCATACGCAAACAATACTTCGCTCGAACGACGAAGTCGTGTTTCGCGAGCGTTTTGTCCTTTACAACGCGGGCCGGGAGTCGCTCGCACTTACGCGAATTAATTAGGTAATCGGCGCGTAGCTAGCTCGTCGTACGCAGACCTTAGGGTGTAATCTTACTCGAAGTGTATAACCAGTTGATAATTTTAGGAACATAACCGTTTATACGAGCATATATATACATACATATACCTATTTAAGAGCGACGGACGAGCCGATGGCGCGTCGGTAGCGCGAAATACTATTCAACAATGTACTATCCTGAACATTTAATCAACTTCCTTTCTTTTTGCTAATCTCTTTCTATTATTAATGACTATATTTCTATAATTATAATCTTTCTGCAACTTTGCATCTATTCTTAATTCTCTCATTCAACGCTTCTTGATCCCTTTCCCTTCTCCAATAAGCGATGTAAATATCTTTATTCGTACGCGAAATTATTTCTTGTTCTCTTGGCTGTTCTCTTCGTAAAGAAGAGACTGCATATCTTGCGTCGCCGACGCATCTCGCGTTACCTCGTCTCAATAAGAATATATTTGTATTTTGTAACGAAAAATGAAACACGTGAGAATACGATAAAGAATAACCGATAGTACGGTAAGAACAAGTAAAGCATACGAATTCTAAAGCTGATAGTTGTAGGGAATTGAACAACCATTGACGCCGTTGTTCAATACCGTAGTTTGTGGTTGTTGTCACTGTGAGTCGTCATTCATTATTTTCGCCCTTTTTTATTTCCTTTTATAGACAAAGCGTCACGTACGATATTTGTCATTGTGGTTAAACGATCGTCTGTCGCGAATCGTATATGTAAGCATAAAGATGGTCGTAATTGAGTCGTGAAACGTGAGTCGCAATCGTAGGTCAACGCACAATGTTTTGATCAACCTACAACTACTCACGTTTCACGATTCAGTTACGGTCATCTTTGTGCTGAGGCCCTTATTCGCGAGAAATGTTAATCAACGTCGGAGAATTTTGGATTCTTTTCCTGTTTAATCTGTTGATTTTTCGCGTATTTCGGAAAATTTAGAAATGAATGACTTTTTCTATAATAATTCAATTCGAATATAATTCATTACAAAGTTGATGAGGACATTGAGCAACGTACTATTAATTTGTACAGAACAAGTTAGAACTTTTATTAACTTAAATTTTGAAAACACTTAATCAACGATCTATTTTCTTATAGATTGAAATAAATCCGATTTTATTCTAGTGATGACGTTTTCATACATAAAAAAATTAATTTTTTTCTTTTAATAAACCAAGAGGATTCACGATTGACTTTGCCTTTTAAGTCGACGATTAATACTCGCATCGACATACCCGATTCTCCGACGTTTTTAAGACTTTTACAGTGAACTCGATTGAACGTACTAATTCATATTAAAGCCGTTGTACACTGATATAATCTATGTAAAAGTAAAAAAAGATGCAAATCTTTTGAATTATAAAATACAGATTTCACTTAACACTTAATAAAATATAAATATAGTAAGATTGGCTATTGGGAATTAGCGCTGTACTATGTGTGCGCGATAAATTTTAATATTAGTAAATTGTGTCTATCTTATTTAATTAATAATTTGTAAACAATATTTTGACTTTATAGCCATCTTCAATACATAAAGATGTCAGACCTAATAAAATGTATTGAAGATTTCATGGTTTAATCCATATTTATGTTCATATTAAACCCCCCCCCCCCTTTTTTTAAGTCAATTTGTGTACAACGGCTTTAATGTGCACCAGTGCACATTGAGTGCATCCAATCGAATTCACTATTAGTCATAACTAACGAATAATAATTTTCGTACATTCTAGATATAATATTGTAGTACGTTGAACTGTAAATATATATACATATTATTACGGTGAGGGGAAAAATAAAAATTCCCCATTACTACTGCCATTAAAATGCAACGCCCGTACTTTAAAAGCGTTTTTACGCCGTCACTCGAATGACCATCGATCGTTCTTCGTAAAGAACAATTTCCGGCATACGATTTTTCTTTCGTTCACCAATCGATCGAGGAGAGATCGGGTCAACGAGAAAGCAGAACTTCATGACAGTAACTTCTTCTCGAAACTCGGACGAATTTTCCTCCCTGACTGATTACATTGCAGCGATCGATGCCGATCGATCTATGCCGGATATTGTACAAAAGTATACGCTATTCGATTGAAAATCGTCCAGTGAACGCCAAAGCGTTAAGGAAATAAAAAGGCGTGCACTTAGTATCGTAGACTCAAGGAATTATTCTCCTAGCGAGAGAAAACGAAACAAATCTACTCCGCACTAGGTCGTTAGGAAAACAACGCACACATTTTTTATGATAGAGCTATGTATTTACTTGTTATAAAATGATACAATCGTTAATATTCGTGTCGACGACAGTTGTAGCAAATATGGCGTTTAATCCTTAATTAATGCGGTGATACAATATGTCAGAGTCCTAATTTCAACTTAGCTTTTGATGAATTATTATCAGAGAAAATAAGAAAATCAATTTTAACCAATTCTTTGTTTCGTCACACAATTTAATTGTTATATAAATATTATATTTAATCATCATGTATTTATTACAACAGCGATAAAACAATAATGCTACTTGGAATTAATTTAATTAAATAACGGTATCTGAATTTAACAAGTAATTAAATATTAACATAAGAATATAAAGACAATTCCATTTTTCTATCAGAATATAAAATATTGAAAAATTTAAAAAAACAGAAGGTTTTAGGGGAAAAAATTCCGACAGAAATAAATACGCTATTAAGATACTTACGAATTGAATAATTTACAATAAATATAATTATTCTTCTTCTTCAAGTGCTATACGCTGTCACCAACGCGTAGGCGTCTCCCTCTTATAAACTTGTAGGCGCACACTGATTGTACACAAGGTATATGGGGACCTACATTTAAACGTCGATTCCGAACGGTAATTTTTGGTAGAGAAGTTTCCTGGGCAAATATATTACTCAGTGGTTTGCCATTGCCTTCCGAGAGGAGCTACGAGCGTACGAAAATTTTCGGTTCTATTGGGGTTCGAACCCGGGATCTCTGGTACAACAGATCAGTGCCCTGTCTACTACATCACTCCTGCGCTCAATATAATAATCACATTTAATAAATTGGAAAGACATTTTAATTTTATAAATTAAATACATATTTATTTAATACATAATTATTTCTAATAGCTACCAACTTTCAGTAATTAATTTAGAAATTAATTTTCCGTAATTTTTTATTGTCACTAATATTAATGAAAAGCAATGGAGCTTATGGTAACAATAAGACAAGCTCCTGCAAACATACATCGCCAACTGCGAAAATCACGTCGATGTGATCGAAATATTCGATCGATAGAATGACCTAGATTACGCAAGTCAAGATCGAATGAGAGAAAAATAGAGCGAATGAAGTATGTGCATTTAGATAATAAACCATTTAACAGAATTAAGATGTAAATACCATGTAAATAACGAACGTAGCGGTAAATAACAGGTATAAATGATTGGGCCCTTTTTTACGATTTTCAAATAAAATTGATACCTTTCCGAAAAATAGCATAGGGCTTTTTAATACTCGTCATACTTGTAACACATTATTACATATGTTATATAATTCGCAATTTTTAAAATAATTTTAATCTTTTGTTATCCAAACATAATCTATTCAATTCTCATTTGATTGAAGCGATACCAGAAACATTTCACCAGAAAATGACTGATGAAATTTGAGAAAATAATTCATGACATGTTTGCATTCGCTAATTGTTTTTAATACTAAAGTACGTTTTATTAAATTTTATTTATTAACTGTTCCCTAAGCTATTTATTCTCTAAGCTATTGTTACTTATTAAACTTTAATAATTAATTCGTACAATCTTCATTTTTTTTGTTATAAAGAATAAAATCTTCACAAACTGTATAAAAATAATTTTGAGCAATAGGAAATTATCTATTTGCTAAATCCACTTTATCAAAGTAATTACTGACACGCAACAGTGAAAGACTCATGAAATGAATATATATCCTTTTTATTTGTCACAATTTTTGTCACGTATGAAATTCAGTGCAGTGTTAATCTTTCGTCACGACGTAATAATTATGTCGTGAAGCGTTTTGCCTTATTGCATTATTTGCATCTAATATATCAAATTTACAAGCGATCGCTTAACAAATTATTGCATGATTCTTTTCGGTAATCCATTTTCCAACAGCAATTTGCAATTAGTGCTCGATACAGAATTATTGAAAATTCAAGCGCTATTAATTAACGTTTGGTTATGATGAAAAGAACATGGAATTATCTCTCAACGTACAAAAGATTGAACAGAATCGCATTAAATGCACTGAGCGAAACTCGCCGTATTCGGGTGAAAGAAGAATAAAAAGAAAAAAAGCGCTCAACGCAGAAAGGCATAACTAAATATAACGAATCTTTTTGGCATACGTTTTAAACGAATGCGAAAATAAAAACCACAGAATTCGATGAAATCGCATTTGATTGTTTGCTTGAAATTTTGCACAAAATGTTAACAATTCTACTTTATCGTGCCGGTGTGTACATGTGCAATCGTTTAGAATGTCGACAATGCGCTCACACACAATACTGATAATAATGCGTCTGATAAAATCGAGTGAATTGTGTGAAAACAATAAACGATCGATATACGTTTTCCACGCAATTAATAAAAGAGGTTATTTACGAAATAAGACATATCTTTCGAAGCGGGGTTTTCGGAAGTAAAAGAAAATATTTCTTTATATTGACATTAAATAATAAATCGTCATTAAATGAGTTATTATTAATAATTACCCTAAGAAAACTGTAGCACTTCGATTTATTATGTTTCTTTGTAAGAAACATAATGTATCTTTGATGAATTGTAATTGTTGACATAGTAAAATTGTGAGAAAATATTTATGTATAATATTTATGTACAATTTAATTAGTTAAGAGAGGTATATGTCTTGTTTCAAAAATAATATCTGCAATATATATATATACACGAGAGATCGGAAAATAAAAACATTTTTTAAATAATTTTCATATATTGAGAAACTTTATTTGCAAATAGATAAATGCACATTTAGTGCCAAGTGCGCTGAATTCAATACGAGGTTCTCGCATAACGCAAACATAAAATGAAAACTGTGTAGCCACAGTTAACGATTTGTAGATCTTCTTTATAAGAAACATAATGTGTCCTTAATAAATTGCAATTATTGAGGTAGTAAAATTGTGAAAAAGTATTCATATACTATGTAATTTATATAATTCGTTAGAAGTATATATGTCTTATTTCAAAAATGATACCTGCAACACATGCACACATACACACAAAACACACACGCACGCACCGCGCGCGCGCGCACACACAAACACACACACGTATGAGAGACCGGAAAATAAAAACATTTTTTTTATTAATTCTCGTATATCGAGAAACTTTATTTGCAAACAGATGAATGCGCATTTAGTGCCAAATGCGCTGAGTTCATTACGAGATTCTCGCATAACGCAAACATAAAACGAAAACTGTGCATCAGTTAAACATTAAACGCGACTGTTTTAATGGTCATGGCACACAAAAAATTTAAGTAGGAAATCATTACTAGTAAGCGAATTGGCCAATCACATTAGAGACTGCAAGGCCATAACATAAGTAGTAGCCAATTCAACATATTGATTTCCTTACTGTTTACGTTTTACTGCTTAAGTTTTTTGTGTGCCATGGCCCTAATTTTTAATGTCATTTTTACAGTTTTTCAAGTGTGAGGATATGTTACTCAATAATAACATGAAGTGAAAAAATACGCATTTAGCGTTAAACGTGCGTGTTTGTAAAATCGCGTTCATGCAGATACAACGTAGGAAAAGTCGCATTTAGCGCTAAATGCATTGTAAAAAATGGGTTGGATGTCGCCGAAGTATAAAAAATCGGCGCTGTGCAGTTCCGCGATTTTAACTCGTTTCGACTTTCGGAGGATTTCGACATACGCGAAGAACGTAGTAGATCTTCGCAGTGTCTTTAAGACTTCGATTTCGATACCGGGCAGTTTTGGTCTCCAACGGTCCGATCGACGATAAATCATCGCTTCCAACCCTTGAACTGCGTATTTGATAGCTTGCGAATACCGCACACATTTAACGAGTTAGACTAAAGACGAAAAGAGTAAGGACGATACAGATAGATTATTGTAAAACGATAACATAGTGTGTTATAAAACGAGCGTACCGTATAGCAATAGAGCGCCATTAACATGAACGAGAACGGAGAGTTTACGGTAAACATTGGAATAATAATTACCGCACCGTTAGATACGATTATTATGTATATCGTTTGTTAAATATGTACTTACTAAGTAATTATACTAACGACCATCGTTCTAAGGCTACACGATGTAAGAACGAGATTCTTGTTGCTTGGTTTTGTAATCATGCTTGACGAAAGCATACGGAGAAATAAAACTTGTTGTCGTAGAAAAGTTCTCGCAGTTATTTTCGCGTGCGAGTGCCGAGTGTGTTGACTGCCGCAATACGAAAGCGAATCGATAATTACGGGACGTTTTCCTCGTTCTATTGTACCCGACAGATCTCACAAGTATTCACACCGATATCTCCGTAGAATTGTTCGCAGCTAGCCACTCCTGCACTTCCGGTAAAGATTCCTTTAACCACTTTATCGCAAATTTAGCATGCGCCTCGACCATCGCCATGGTATATCCCACGATCTTTATGCTTTCGAGATTATCCTCGCTGAATGTCTGAAACTAAAGAATCAAACAAACATTAAAATTACACTTTATATAATATTCGAAAAGATTTATGTTCTTCAAGATATTATCAACAAATCATTATGAAGAAATGAAAATCGAAAGACTTGACTAGCATAAAAATGAAGATTATATATATTTTCCCTAAAACTATTTCATATTAATTATTAATTTTTTATTATTTATTATTATTTATTATTTTATTATTATAGTTTATTGCTCTAGCATGAATTATTATTTTTGTAAAATTAAATTATACTTACGTCTTCAAAGTCTTCCTCGCTGATCAAGCCGTTCGTCATTGCTAATGCAAAAGCTTTTAAGATCGGACGAGATTTAGAGAATCTAAACAGACATGAGAGTACATCGTAATCTGCTTATAAGTTTGACGAAAGGATAAGAAGGTTGCAAAGTACCTCGTGACGATAACCTGCCAATTATTTTGCATGAACTTGTAGGCGATTTGCGCAGCGACCGGGTTTTGCGGAAAACTTTGTAAGATCCTTTGCGTCTCATCCTCGTCGTACATCTTCCCTTCAAGAATCTCGCTAAGTATTCTAACATATAACATGAATTATATATTTGTATACTTTCAAATGATATATATATATATTTTGCAAAATATTTTTTTAATTAGTACATTAGTAGATGTATGCTTCAATCAATAAGGAATCTTTTCCTTCTTATTTAAAATTTCATCTTGAACACCTTTTTTATACCTTTTTATTTTTGTATTAAATACCTTGCATATTCTAAATAGAATATTAGAAAGTAAATTAACTCTAAAATGAAATTTACTTACAATTAGATAGAAATCAGATAAATAATAAAAATTTATTAATTTTTGTATTACTTATTACTAACAATTTTTACTTACAATTGCAGGATCCATGGCGTCTGGAAGCATGCGAACGCTGATAGAAGGCGATTCTTTTCATCTCGATCTGCAGTGGAATTTGCCCTCTCGACGAAGTAATTCCACTCGTTTCGCGTGCCGTATCGTGCGATCGTACAATACAACACTTCACGTGCATATGCCGGTACACTAAAACGATCAAAGTTTTACTTTCAAAATAAACTGTAAAACATTAAAGTGAGGTCATCCTTTCAGAAATGAAAATTATTATCAAAAATATCATCATATAAATTTTTTTTCTAATTTCTGAAAGGCAAAATAATGCGCATTAAAATTAGTATGGTATAAATAAGAATTAATATTATTTTTATACATTTTATTACAAAAATTTTTTGATGAATTATGCTGTTATCAAACATTCTGTGTTGCATACGAATTAAAATGACACATATGTTTCGATGTAACTGTTGAAACGTACTAAAAAAAGATTGTAGCAAGTATTTTTATCAGATTATATATTTAATTTCACGAATTAGTGATTTAGATAATACTCTTCTATTAATGATAATATTAATAAAAGAGCAACTTTTTCAATTTTAGAAAGACAGGCACGTTTAAAAATATATAACATTGTTAGTCAAGATTCTATTTCGTTTAAGTAACAAAATTTTGAAGTAGAAAAAAATCATATCACCATTGTCCAAAAGATGTTCGAATGTAAATGAGAACAAAAATTAAATGAAAAATTATTTTTATCGATCTTACACTTCATCTGCATCGGAATGATCCTTCAGTTTTGCAAAATGATTCCTGGCCCAGTCAAGACATTCCGCATTTTCAAACGCACACGCTATCGTAAGAGCGGTCAAAGTTAATCGCGATCCCTCATCGACTTTCCACCCCACGTCTGCATACAATTTTGATGTAAATCTTAATGTAAATTCCTGTAAACGGTCCATTCGTTAAGTTATTTAATAATATTACTGTGTAGTAATAATTTACTTAAACTACTATTGTTTTTTTAATTTAAATTTAAACTTTTAGATTTTTTTAAATTTTGGATTTATTTTAAATTTTACATTTATACTTGTCATTTTGTTCCTTCGGTAATTATGCAGTTTAGAGGAGCCCTCCCCCCAATGATCTTGACCTTGACATATGTTGTCAAGGTCATGACCCTGAGTGACCTTGAGGAAGTTTTAGTCGTCGGATGTTACTCGTTAAAAAGTTATAAACAAAAAAAGTGTAAGAAATAATGTCTCATTTCTGCTACAAAGAACCAAAATTTTCTGCTTTAAAATGAATTTCCTGTTTTAAAAACATTATTTTCTTATATAATTTTTGTTCTTAAAGCAAACAATGTTTTTTCTGCTTTACTCTGCATACACTCTATAACGAGCATACACTGAATAACAGTCATCTTCTTCAATAAGGAAAGAAAATAAAATATAATATAAGCAATATTAATTTGCAAAGAAATTTAATTAGCATGAAATGGATACATGGAACTCATAATGTTGAAAAAAGCATGAATTCGATCATTATTATAAGTAATGACTTTTTACGCGATGACTTTAGTACAAGTTTCATTTTAAATGAAGAGTCGTTGCAAAATCATAAATTTTCTGCTTTAGAGCAAAAATTATATAAGAAAATAAAAGTTTTTAAAGCAAGAAATTCATTTTAAAGCAGAAAATTTTGGTTTTATATAGCAGAAATACAACATTATTTCTTAATAATCTTTTTTTGTTTATAACTTCTTAACAAGTAACGTCCGACGGCTAAAACTTCTTCAAGGTCACTCAGGGTGATGACTTTGACAATATATGTCAAGATCAAGGTCATTGGGGCTCCCCTAAACTGCATAATTACCGTTCCTTCAATAATAAAGATATAATTATATAATATATTAAATATAAATTCCTTTTAAATTTTTAAAAATATTTTTTCAACATAAATTATTATTGTATTAAGTATTATGTTCATAAAGCATTAATTTATTCAATTTAATTGTTCTTAATTATCATTATTTAATTATCCTTAACTAATTATATTGTAACTTTATCTTACAGCTAGACATTATTTTTTTTTATCAAATGTTCACCGAATATAAAACTAAATGACTTTCTAAATATTAATTAAATATAAACATATCTATTATCCCCCAATATTAAAAAAATGTTTTTAAACTGATACGTTCTTTTAATGTTCGTTTCCCTTTATAAGCATGCTACGCTACCTGAAAGGCGCTAAAGCCAGATGTTTCGTAAAGGAGACCGTTCAACTTCAACAGATGACGCATCAGAACACCCCAGGGAGCATAATGCCTTTCCTTGATTTGCATATATTTAATAAAGTCGAAAGCGGTCGCGTATTTCGTCAAGCCGACCGCGGCGAGTCCAAGCACATCGTCAATGAGCGACGCTCTAGTTTCTACCGGAAGAACTTCGTGATTTTCCTCGAGGGCCTGTGTCAAGAGCTTCCAATTTTCCTCATCATAGTGCACACGATAATAACCTTGAAAGCAATTAATAACGATAAAGGTGACTTGTATTCCACTTCGCAATTTCATATTAAATTGGAGGATATTAAAATTAACGTATTATTCTCTAGCTAAAAAGTAATTTTCTGCATGAGTATAAGTTACAAAAATTATTTGTAAAATCATAATTGTGTTATAACGTATTAAGAATAATTAAAAAAAAATTATAAGTGAAAAAATAAATGAAAATAAAAAATAAAACAAATATTTTTTTTATTTTACTAGACAATGTAAAAATGCTTATCCATATAAATATCTACGACAGTCTAGATAAATCCAATTTCCTATCTCGCTCTATTAATAATTGTATTTAAAATGATAAAATATAACTTATTTCAGCTTTAATGCTTTATTTTCTCCTTAAAAAATTTATTTATAAAAAATATAATAAAGTTTCGTACAAAATGGTGTAGAGAAAAAAATGTTTTGCTAATCCAGATAAAAATGTCTAAATTTTTCGTAATTAAGATTTTAAGGACATTTTTTAGAAAAATATTTGTTTAACTAACCTGTTTTATTCACATTGAATACAATCCAGGAATCTCGAGCGCCAATGTTATGCACCACCATTTCCGTTTCAGAATCCAACCACGTCTTTGTCGGAGATGACCAATCATTGCTCGTTTTGTTAATATAGTCAAGCGGTACGTACCACGTCGATTGAGTGTCGGATGATTGGTCATATGTAAATCTTTGCTGTGCAATATAGTTGATGGTAAATACCGTAATCAAGAAGCATATCGATTCAAATTATAATGTTTTTATTTCAGAACACTAAATATGCAATTTAATTTGTAATATTTAAGATCGCACACCTGCCGAATAATAGCGGTGCCTTCCTTATATTTCCTCATGACGCTGACAATTGGATATCCACGATGTGAAATCCAAGAGTTCATCGCTTCGGCTAACGTAATTCCCATGGGTAAACCGATAGCTTCTTCCGCCATCGCTTCCCAGAAATCGTCAACGTTCGCAGTCGAATAGTTCCTAAAATATTTTAATAACTTACAACAATTTTAGTATTTTTCTATAACGAAAAATAGAGTGCTATTGTTCATGCATTCCTTAGCTTGTATATATCACGCGACAAAATTGTATAATTTGTACGTTTGTGCGATTCAACGCAATATGTATATCGATGATAGGTGCACTTATGTAACGAAGCCGATAAAGAAGCATGAGGAATAATGGTCGGTAGCTCGTGACATTCAACGACTGGCCATTACCATAAAGCCGACGGGATAACTCGCTGTAAAACGCGTAGATTATCGTTTCGACGACTGAATCACGCGGTCGCACGAGCGAGTGATATAAACGTCGATGCCGGGATCGCGCGATTAATGAACGAACGACGGCCCAGTTGAAGGATAAATCAACGATAATGTGATATACCCACCACCTTGCTATAAATTTCCGGTAGCCATTCCTAAAGGCGGTATCGTTTATCACGCCATGCAACATGCGAATCAAGCATGCACCTACAAGAAGCAGTCAGAATGCAAAGTCACATTATGCGACGTTATAAGAGCGTATAGTCGATACTGCCTTTCGAGTGAAGCTGAGAATATTTGACAATATTTCACATGTTTGCATGTTCAAAAAGATACAGGGATTTTAATATTTATTGAATGTGATTTTAAAAATTATAGGAAAAAAGCGAGAAGTTAAAAGATACGTTGAAAAGGAACGTAAACTTTTAAATTGGCTACGAAATTATTTAATGTTAAAATATACAATGCAAATTTTTAATAATTATAAATATTAATATATAGATATTTAAAATAATAATCAACTGTTTGATATTTATTTATAACATTTGCGAACATCTTTATGTAAGATACAAATATTAAAATCAAATAATCACAGCTTCACTTTCAAGTATGGATATGCAATTATTGCTAATATTGAAAATAAAGTATCAATGTTGACAGTATTCAGTACCAGGAGCAATAAGATATTAATACTTGAAAATATCATAAGCAATTGCTTGAAAAAGAAACAATTTGATAAATGATCTTTACCTTTCTTATGTCGAGCATTGCGGTCCGAAAAATCCAAATTAGCAGGATTGATGTTCGATTGCAATAGCCTTGAAACACTGTAACTGTCTTCTTCCATGGCTTCCCATTGCACATTGGCAAGGAAGGCAAGATTGGAGCCCAATGACGAATCTATCTGAAAATAGAATTTCATAAAAACTTTGCTTTTCTCAGCGAAAGAAGAATTATCTTTATCTAGACATTGTCAAGTGTAAATCAATTATTTTAAAAAGGTGACGTGGACATAAACTGAAAACTAAATTAATAAGAAATACAAAAAAGTAATTTTAAATATTAATATGAAATAAAAAAAGTATATAAACAATCGTAAAATTAAAAAGTCAAGTCATTTTCTATATAAAAAATTTGGTTTTTCTATACACTTTCATATAAAAAATTTTATTATGTTTGAATGCTCTTCATTAAAAAAGCTTGATAATTTTGTACAATATATATCAAATTTTTTTTATCTAATTATTCTTTACCTTTTTAAAATAATTAACATAGAATTTAATATTAACTTTAAAAGTACATAATTTTAATATAATTTAACATGTGTTTCAGCATAAAATACTGTTCGTTGGACGTTGGTATGCACTTTTACAGTTAATGGATATCACAAATATTATTCCAATTATGTGCCTTCTCGATCATCTCGTGTCTCAAATAGAAAGTGGAGCCTTCAAGTAGCCAAACGTCCGTCCAGTTCTTCATGTTCACAACGCCGCCCAGCCATTGTTCTCCTATCAGGCTTATCAGAGCGCTTAACGCGTCTGTCTTCGTGACCATGGGAGATCGATCTGCGGCGTAGAAGAGCGATTGCCTTGAAAACAATTTAGCTTGATATAACGCGACATTGAACGTAGAGCGATCGAAAGAGTATAATGGATCACTTTTTAAAAAAAGGTAAAAATAAATTCTGTGTCCGCACCCATCAAAATAGTTATTGTGTGAAGTAAATATTGTTTTAATACACATTTGCTATAAAAATGGTGATATCAAGTCGTGTCAACTGAGCATGAATTTGTATACATTATAAAATTTAATTTTTTAAATTATTTAAATTTAATTGTTTTATCAGTCAGCCAAGTTTGTTGAAAACAAATTTTGTCAGGCGCTTGCTACAAAGTTTGTCGACAAAAAGGCAAATTTGTTGTAAATTCTGTTATTCAATGATGTCAGCAAATTGGTGGCAGATATACAATAAAATCCGTTAACAAAACATAAGAACAAATTGTTGGCAAAACCATGCAAAACTTACTGACAATCTGACAGTAAATTGATGGTAAGAACCGACCAAAACTTTGCTAGGTTTTTGTCGACAATTTTCTCTCACATTATGTCAACAAGCTTTGTCAGCAAAATACAAGCTTAATACGGAATTGATGCTGAATATTTTGATCGAATTTGCTAGCAAATTCTAGATAAATTGTTAATATTTTGCTGATTGGGGCATTTAATAAAATAATAAAGTATTTAACGCGAAAGAACTTGGGTATTGAACATTATTGGTATTGAAAATCAATGCACTTAAAAACGAAATTTTATTATCTCTTTAAAATTTATGAAATAATTGTAATTTTTTCCATCAAAATAATTTCACAGTAATTTAATTATTCTCTTGTAGATGAAATATAACGCTGTGAGCTTTCTTACTTCAATGATATCAATCCTGGGCTTCCGGCGTTATCGACGATTCGCGACGGTAATGCGACGATATCCAATTTCGGTAGCGGATAAGGCATCGAGAACATGTCGTTGAAATGTACAACAATTTGGTCGAGTTTGTCGAGAAGATAAATTCCCCGTGATCGTCTCTTCGGATCGCCCCAGAAAGTCACCCCTGTCGCATTATCAAGTCCCATTTTCGTCTCGCCCACCGACTCGACTTCGCCCATTACGAAAGCCAGATTGTAAGGCGAGAGCAACGGGGTATCGCTGAAGGTGTCGATCACTCGATCATCCGATCTTGAAAGATACAAATTACACACTGATTACTTTTTTAAACGCATAAAAATCGCCCATATGAGAAGAGAAAAATAATGGCACGAGAAATTTCATTATAATTCATTGCACTAATAGAATAAAATTTATGTTTTAATGAAAAAATTCTTTTTTTAACGTTCTATAATTTTGGCATATTTTAGGCACAATTTTTTATTTAAAACAAAAAATTAAAAATTTGAACTGTAAATTAATTAAAGACTGTAAAGTTTATAGTTGATGTATGTTTATGTATGTTTTTCGCTTTATGTATATTTTTTTACTTTATGTAAGTTTTTCATTATATTTTCACTAAAAAAAAAATACAGTTGAAGAAATAATAGTTATGGAACTAGACAGTTTCGCTATTCATAACCGATATAGATGTCCTAAGCATGCAAACATTGACACAGCTGTAATTAACAGTATGAAATACTTACGTGTCTTTGGAAATATTGAGAGGCATGTTTGACAGAACTCTCGCTTCGCGTGGACGTATCACGGACACCGAAAAGACAGCCTTGAGGTTCACGTCATCGAAGATAGGTAAAAGATGCGAAGCTCGTACAGGTTTTAACCGCGTCCCGATAAACGATCTACTAAAAATATATATCATCTCAAAATTAAGTAGACATATTTAAAAAATACATAAATTAAGGACACAACCACAAAAATATTTGAACAAATTTTTTTTAACTTATATTTAAGGAATTAATATTAAATATTCTGAAACTGAAATACTTTAATATAAAATAAGAAAAAAAGAAAAAAGGGATCATATATATGTATAAAAGTATATTTTTATAATTTTTATATTATCAGAAAATGTTAATAACATATTTCTAAAATAACAAACTTATAGACAACTTTTTTGTAATTTTCAAAAAATTTGATTAGTATTCCTAGTAAGCAAGACGATGTAATGTTGCAGCGATATAACTGAAATGTTCCGAAATGTTTCTTGCTCAGGTTGTGAATAGCTGTACCCGGGTGGAAATTACGACCTAGGGCTATATGTGCTTCATCTAGTTTTCCACGAGTTGATGTGGGCGCTATGTTGGAAGGCTATATTAGGCGGTAACGGCAATAATAATCAGCCCCATTTTTGGAAAACTCTCTAGGTCCTGGTTCGCGATGCGGTGTAGGAAAATGGAAGGAAAAAGATTTATCAAACCCTCTAAGCTGACAGTTTTCTCCGACAGGAGCGCTCGAATTGGTTTTTCGGTACAACGCTTTTCCGAAGCCAGAAATCGAGCCCAACTTTTTCGTGACCGGCTGCTTAAGTCTAGGGCGACATTGATTATTGTAAATCTGCGCCTGCGCATTCCGATCCAAAAGAAGTCCCATATAAAGGCTGCGTTCCGTTATTCATTGCAGATACTAGAAATCTATAGTTTACGTTATCTATGCTGTAGACTAATAATACTTAAAGTGAATAATGGAACGCAGCCATGGTCGGTGCAACGCGCAATTTGCAATACAATGGCTACGTTTACACCGTGCATTTAGGCCACGGCCTATACAATAGACGTCCTTGTTTATCCTGTATATTAAACAAAAACACCTATCATATAGGTCGTGGACTAAGCGCACGGTGTAAACGTAGCCAATATGTACATACAATAAAGAACTATAGTGGGCCACTCAAACTGTATGCTATGGCTATGTGTGTAACAGGGTTGATAGTTCGATACAAGCGATGATTATAGCTTGAGTATCGAATAACTTTATAAAATGTTAAATAATTAATTTACATTTTATATTATACTTATATATTATTTAATAATATTAGTTAAAATTATTATAATCCTGCCTCACCGGCCGAGTGCTAGCTAGCCCCCCCGGCTAATTTTCCCATCTTGGCACCACTGTATGTACAATTCTGTCATCCAGTGCCTAGATGAAATACTAGATAGCACCCGGCTAGATTTTCAATACTGGCGTACCACGACATTCCCCACGGGGCCTATAATATAGAAATTTAGATCGCCCAGACACATTTCCACCCGGGTATCTTTTATAAGATAATGTTTCAATTCTAGTGTGTGTGTGTGTGTGTGCAATCGACAATTAGTTAATTAATTTTTTTCACTATAATCACATGGAAAAACTTACTTTCCTTCACTGGACTCGCTGTAGCTCGTCGAATATATCGCTTTACCATCAAATTGAATCTCGTAGTCGATCTCCAAACTGTATATTCCTGGACTCATGGCGACAGCCGGATATATCACATGTAATCCGTTATTAGCATCCACTTCGTATCGCTGAATCTTCACATCAATTATGCTTTCATTACCGGAAGTTATCATAGTAGGCGTCATTGATCCAGTCGTCGCGTTTGTAGACTTCGCGATTTTCTCATCAGGCACTGACAAACTTTCGTTTGTCAAAGAAGTTTCGTTGCCCGAAACGGTTGCATTTCCTGAGGGATACTCCGTCACAACGACGCGCGTTGTTTCCTGATTTTCCAATTGCGAAGATGATATCACAGTAGGAGCCAAAGTAGTGGCATTGTCTGCGTTGAACAGATCGTTGTTCGGCATTAGACACAATCAATTATGTAATTCTTTCTTTCTTTCTTTATTTAATATTCTCTAAGAGTAAACAAGAGTTTTACGGAAATTTCAAATAATGATCGTTCAATTATATTAATTTTTTACACGTACTAAAAAATGAAACTGAATTTACCAGCTCAATTAAGTAAAACATTTAAAACATTGAGAATAAAGTTATTTTTCTTTTTTATTTTAGAATTTATCACGAACGTTATGCAATTGACCACTTGCACACTATTATATTAGATATTGTCACAGCTGCAAGTGTGATAATGTCTAAATGGTTGTCTTATCGCGCATTATTTCGCTACCAAAAATCTGCTTGCTTTGTTAAACCGTACATTAATATACTATTGTCATATAATGACGAGTTACATTCGAGATGCAGATTATAATCCAAATGAAAACAAGTAGCAATCGCATTCGTGACATAGATTACAATCCAAATTTAACGAGCACAAGTCTCAGGTACAACACCTATAAACTTCTGTGCACGTACTTATTTAAAATATAATTTAAGGCAAAAGTGGTGAGTCATTATGCGTATGAGCCGGATTAAATCAAATAATTAAATCGAATTATTTAAGAATGACCTATTTTTCATTTATTTAATTAATTAATATCATTCATCTATCATATATCAACTGAAATATTTTTTGTTTATTACAATCCAAAAAAAGTAGAACGTAATTTCGATAAAGAATATTAATAGATAGAGAATCTATATACACAGTAAAAAAAATTTGTGTATTTGTGTTAGAAATGGTCCACGTGTTGTATTGAATTTTTTAACATATTCGAGTGTTAATTTAACATAATGTGATTATGTTATTTAAAGATTTTTTGTGAAATTGATATTTAATGTTTCTTAGTGTCAAAATGACACAATTTATGAGTAAGTGAACAAGTAACATAAAAATAATGTGTTTTAAAACATAAATTCTAAGACAAATGAAATATGTGTTAATTTAACATATAAATGTTAATTTTCTGAAAAAAGATATGTTCCCACGATATATTTACAAACTATCGATGTTATCTTTCTTTATATTTATTCTCTTACATAATATTTGTGTTACCTTCTAACATATTCATCTTGTGTAAAATTAACTGAAAAATTTGAGTGGACCGTTTAGGACATGCGATTTATGTTAAATTCAATACATTTTTTCCAACTGTGTATATGACATTTCTGAAGAAAATAAATTAAACTATTTACGGTTTTTAAAATACTTAGATTAGCATCAAATTATTAACATCTTTCTATGATGCTTATTAGCATCAAAAATTATTAAATTGCTCGTCAATTTATTAATATATAATATTACTCTAGTTCTGTTCATGATTGCATTTCAAGACTGAAAAAGATTTCGGTGTATGAAATGTTTTGCAGAATTGAATATATATATATATATTGTAAATTTATATATATTGTATATAAATTTACTCTGAAATATTTAAGCACTAAAATCCGTTTTGACTGAAAATAGATTTATTCCTTTTAATTGATTTCTGTAGAAAGTACCAGCGTTCTCTTGGCCGCCTGTATCTTCAGCGCGTCTCCTACGTCTCCTTTTCGCACGCGCACCATTCTCTTCTATGAGTGATAACTTGTGACGTGTTGCCGTGATATTTCTTGCATTCAGAGACAATTGGTTTAATGGCGTTGTATCATCCATGCGAAATTCGATAACGACTCGCCCTTTCAGCTTCGATGTGGCATTGATGTCATTCGACAGCATCAATTCGAGATTATATTTCAAAGGATGAACGAAAGGCGATACTGAGGCTATCATGACATCACCTCCTTCTTCCACTTCTTCCTCAATAAGGGCTAATGGATCGTATATCTAATTAACAGAAAGTGCAGAAAAAATTATATATTGTTAGTACTAAATTATATACTAAATTATATATTATTAGTACTTATTAAAGAGAGATATTACGTTTTACATATTGAAACCATAAATGTAATGCAGTATTAAATCATTAATTAAAACTTATAATAAAACAATGACTTTAAAATAATGTTTTTTTTTAATTTTTACTTTTTATTTTCCAATATTTTTAATTTTTTAATTTTTTTATATAATTAATCTTGAATGAAATATAATGATGTTAATCAATAAATATCAAAAAATGAATCTATAAATTTTTTATTTCATAATTATAATTTTTCTCATCAAAGTATACACAGATACATTTAAAATTATTATAATAAAACATTAATCACAAGTACAATGATGATAAATTACCAGTAATAACAAATAACTATAATCTATGTTACGATAAATCACTTACTCTCGTTTTGGGTATTGTACCAAGGTTCCATCCGATTATACCGGCGACAATCACAACGATCACGATCAGGACAACGAAAGAGAGAATCTTTTTGTACGTTAAAAACCAGCCACCCTTTCGTTGATGAACAATTTCCTCACAAGGAGGAGGCAACGCAGTATTGCCCTCATATGTCTGCATCATGCAGTCAGCTGAAAATATTAAACGTGTGATAAAAAGATGCGCACATTTATTGCCTCACTGAATATTGGCATCTATTGTTCCTTCTTAATAGGCTGCAATTCATTTTCAAATGTGTCATCGATTGTGTCGATCATGTAACCATTTAACACGTTGTAAATGTTACAGCTAATTATTACTTTTCTAAATAGATAATATAATTTTTCCTTCTAATTGGATAAATTAAAGAGTTTGAGAGAAACCCTTTGAAGCTGAAATATCCGCATTTTTTAAATATATATTTAAGAAATAAATTAGAAATTTTTTTTATGAATTACCACAACATACTGTATCTTTAAAAACTTCTTCTTTCTAATCTTTCTAAATATTTAAAAGTTTAATGGCTAATCGATTTAAATATTGTGTGTAGAAAAATTATAATTTCCTATGATTATATTTACTAAAAAATGTTTCAATTACAAAGAGAGAGAGAGGGATAGAGAGAGAAAACTGACAGAGATAAGTTAGATAAATAATATATAAACAAAAGAATTAAGGAAAAATGAAAATATTTATAGATATAAAAATCCTTAAAATTAATCTTTAATTGTGAAGAGACGAAAAATTTCCTTTTCTCAAAGATGATATTTTCTTCAACCATACACACCTTTCAATTAATAAGCATGTATTTTCTTAGAAATCTAACAATTAACGCTATCATAATCGAGACCAGTAATTTCCATAGCTTCGATCAATCGAATAAATTATAGAACATTAGAGAAATTAAAATAATCGCGAAAATTATAGAGAGACTTGTAAACAACTCGCAAACAATTGACAAATCAAAGCGAGTCGCATGCCGATTATCCGAATCAATTAAAAAAAATCGCAATATCTATAAGCGCATGCCATTGCGACGAATTTCGCGTTAGTAGTGCAACGTTAGAAACGCGGAATACATGCGAATGATGTCATCAAAATTGGTTCCCCGTGATGCAGGAATCCGCGATAGGCTCGTGAACGCGGTAGGAGACGTGATTTCAAGGTCCTGCTCGTACACCTCGTGCTGACTACGTATCAGCTCCAGCATTCGCGTAATCTTCGCGCCGATAACGCTCGTATCGGTGCCATTCGCATGGCATTAGCGGCGACAGTCTGCATTGATTTCAACGGCATAATTTCTAACGAGGAATATTTATAACAATTTATAACAAATACAATGGTACTTTCAATAGAATGTTATTGTTACTTGTTACTATCGCACTGATAATGAGCGCAACATAAGAACGCAACTAAAACTTGTTGTATTTCATCAAATGCTATGTTATAATGCACATCAGTGAATCAAATAAATCCGCACCGTCACTGAAAACTGTAGCACAAAAGAAATAAACATTACTTATACCTACGATTAAAATTTGAGATATTATCTTAATTGAAAGTTTGTTTTCAATGAAACGCATTATACACTTTGCTAAGAATCTGAGGCTCGAGATTCGAAACGGATAAAACACATCGAAAGAGTGCAACATTAAGTTTTCCTTTGATATTGGAATCAGTAATTGCAGATTACAATAGATCTACAAATCTGTTACAATTAATTAATGCTTATTCTTGGCCAAACAATATTCTTGTTATTTATTTGTTCTTTATTATTATGTCTCGTAGTAGCATGTTCTCTATAATGTTAAATCATATTTCTCGTTACACCATCTGAACGTGACTGTCTCATAAACAAACGTCAATATCTTAGTGCTGTGTCCAAGATAAAAGAATATAGAAAGAGAAGTTTGAAGTAAACTCTTTATTTAAATTTTCAATAAATTCTAAGCTATGTCAGACGTTAAATTTTTGAATAAAATTTCTTCAATTATTTGTCGACACAATAACTAGTATAATTTTAAAATAAGTAGTAAACTTTGTAAAGTTTGACGTTAAACCAGAAAAGATCAAGTAGCATTTAAATATTTTTGTATTTATCCTTTTTTTATATAAAATTAAACATTACGATAATTTAGTTTATATGAAAATATTACATTACAACTTAATCTTCAATGTAATTGAAGTCATTCTTTTATTGCAACAATTGAGGAAAAAAATTTGCTCAATGATATCAATATTTTAATAAAGAAGATATCACGAATGAACATTCAAGGTAACCTCCAAGTTGGCAACGCATGTAACAGACGCATGGCGAACAGATAGCGCATCAATAATAACATAATTAAGAGTGTGGGAAAATTTTTTCAAAATACTTGAAATTGGTGTGACACTGCTTCAACCTGTGTGCACATACATATTTAAAAAAATCATATTAGTTTTGCGCGCACGCAGTTTTGTTGAATTTACAATAATTTAACAAAATGGAATATTTCTAAGCTGGTCTGAATATAGATAACTGATTGAGTTATTTAACAATAGTTCTGTTATTGAATTGTTTAACGCTTAACTGACAGAGTTAGTTAAGAATAATATATTATTATACATGTATTGGCAATACAAAATATAAATCCGATTTCCGAGAGAGAGAGACAAGAAAGAGAGACTATGAGATTATTACTACTTTATCAAACTAAAATTATAATTATGATTAAAATAAAAACTTGCAAAAGTTATTAAAGAAATAAATGCTAAATTAACAAAATAAATTCTTGCAAGTTTCGCATTAAACAGAGGGAAACTGAAAAAAAATCATACTATATATCAACAGCATTTTAATTGAAAATAATTTTGTTAATTCACGATGAAACCATTAATAAAACAAATATATCATGCCCCTGTTTTAAAAAAATTTTATTTGTTTCATTAATATTATTGTTGAATCAATAAGACTATTTTCAATTAAAAATACTGTTGATATAACACCATTCTTTTTTAGTGTATGGTTTTCGATTTTTTGTTTAACGCAAAACTTGTAAGAACTTATTTCGTTAATTTAACATTGTAATGTAATATTTTCATGTAAACTAAAATATAAAATTTAATTCTACATGGAAGATATATAAATATAAAAATATGCAAATGCTATTTGATCTTTTCTCAACTAATGTTAAACTTTATAAATTCTACTACTTACTTTAAAATTATATGAATTGTTGATACATCATTTTTCTTCAGTGTACATTCAAAATCTCGCACGATTATAACTGTCATAAAAAGTACAACAATCAACTAGTTGCAGTGATTTGAAGTAATAATTTAATTTACGGTCATGTTCATATCGATATAAGTTAAATATTTCATACATTTAACGATAAAACAAAATCCAAATATAATTAGCTAATTTGAGTGTTATTTTCAAAATCGAATAAAAATATGAAATAAAGATAGATTTATTAAAGCAAAAAAGAAATTGTTTTTCGAATATCTAAAACATGGATGTACGGTGCATGTAAATAATGTTTAATTAACAAATGTAATTGATATTACAATTGATGATATAAATAACAAACATATTTCTCAGTAGTATACAAAATAATAATCGTAGCAATAACTATAAACAAATCATATTTAATTTCTTGACACCAATTAACTTTAAACAAAAGAATTTTTACTTTTAATAAAAATATAATAATTTTTAAGGCATTTTTTTTTCTAAAAATAGTAATAATATATATATATATATAATAACTCTTTCTACAGTTTATTTTTCATTTTAATCCAAATATATATATATATCCCATTGTCAGTTTATAAAGTTTATAACTTTAAACTTTAAAATGCATAATGCAATATTCTTTTATTTTCTTCTATTTTATTCAATAATTTAATAGATTTCAAATTAAATATAATAAGTTTTTAGATTTATCTAAAGAAAAATATTATTAAAAATTTTTTTTAATAGAAAAGGTTTATATTTTAAGTGTAATCACAATGTATCGTTTAAAGTCATGGAAACAATGGCAAAAGCAAAAACAGCTGTTATCACTTACAATTTCGCTGTCCATAGGACTGCCAACTGCTGACGGATCCTCGTCGCATCGTTACAATTTGAAGTAAAAATGCAAAGGTATTCTTAAGAAAAATGAAAACGAAAGTGTGTAAAAAGGCGGCTTTGGAGAACGAATGCGCATCCAACGCGGAAACAAATTCTCAGGTGTGGCGGCACATAGGTGACGCAGGTACAACTGCAATTAGCTATTCTACCTTGCGGTGCCGTGAGTGGATGTTGGCCGAGAAACACTAGCGGGTGCCCCCCACTTGTGCTCTTCGTTCGTCAGCTCTCCGTGTCGGTCTCAATCGTTCGTTCCGCTCCTTATCCTTATGCGCTTCTGCCATAATTCGCGATTAGAGCCGCTATCGAGATTTTACCGCGCGTCTTACAGCCTTCCTTTTTGTAGTGACACGTGGAACGAAGTTCGGTATGATAATGCAGCATCTGAAGAATGAGGCAAGTTCTTTATCCTTTATCTTCATGAAATCGTGATGATGATTAAAAGAGAAGGATTAAACGAAAGGCTGAATAAAAGAAAACTAGTAATGTTGTAAGGAAATAATTTTATTAGTTGTGATAAATGTTTTCATTATAAAGAGAAAACATAATTATAATTAGAGATCATTAAAATATTATTAAATAATGTTTAAATTTTTTAATAAAAAATTTTTTTTATCTTCTTCATTATCATTTACAATAGCGGTTTCCATAAAACATATCTACATTTTCCTTATACATTTTAACTTATAATTCTTAATATACTTTGAGTATTCTAAAATATAGCACATTCTCTCTAGAGAAGCTCCTCAATTTTTCCAAAATCAAATTGGATATTAAAAATTTTCACAAAATTAAATTAAGTTACCGCATTCTCAAATAGTGATATCAATGCAAGAGAAGAGGTATCCTTTTTTTTTAAAAAATACCATTAATCCTTTTAAAATATACAGGGTGACCTAAAATTTTTTTTTTAAATTCTGAAAAAATTCTTAGAGTTCTATGAAAAGAAAATAAATAATTTTTAGCTCTTGCAGTTTTTCTGTAATTTAAGTTGATAGTATTTGAGAAAAAAATTATTGAAGACCAATATTTGGCAATTTTTAGTAATTAATATCTTGTTAATTATTGCGAAAATTGTAAAATGATAAAGGACTTTTCGACTCAGTTTAGTCCGCTCTATTTAAACAAGAGCGCTTGACAAAAAATTTCGAATAAGATATTATACACGTAACATCGAATTTGTAACTATCACGTTTTCGATTGCAGCTTAGAACTGACCCAGTTATTGCGCGAGAACCTCGCAAGAGAACTCGCGAACAAAACAGTCTATCAAGTCCAATTAAGGTGTTATGGTGTCGTGGTCCAAGTGCACATTGGGCTTGGTTCGGGGTCGGTACCAGGAGCCGGTACGTAGATCAGCGGCACGTGTCATAATGTGTCATTGGCGATAGCAACGCAATACAGACATATAGACAAGTACTCTGGCATCGAGTGTTTAAAGGGGAATACAATGGCGCGAAGGTCCTTGCAACAGGCAATGTCCGAGACGCACTTTGTTCCCAATTTGATAGCCGACGCTGTTGACCATAGATTGGCCGTTGACGTCGTTGTCTCTTCGTCCGAATTGACTCCGCCACGATTAGATCCCCCTTCAGCGACGACGATCGCGATCGCCAAATTGGATAATGGATGGACGATCCGCCGATTTGCCCTAAGTGGACCTGAATCCGATTCCCGGGGTGATACGTCACGCGAGACTAGTACCGGTGTGTTTTTCCGCGCGTTTCTGTCGCTTTTTGGCGACCAAGCCAACGAGGAACCGTTCGAGCGACAGTTTGCACGCGGCTACGCTATCACACAGTCGTTCCAGAGATTCTCCTGGACTCCTCCCAGAGGAAGTCGCTTCTTCTTTAAGGAGTATCAAGGTCAATTGGCGCGACGGTGTGGTAATACGGATAATATCCAAGTCAGTTCTTCGTAAACCGCGATCGCGCGTCGTTGACAGATCATCCTCTGCGTCCCTCAGGCGTGCACGCCTGTCGCGAGGATAACGCCGTAAGCACCCAGGAATCGATTAAGTCGCGATTTTCCACAACGCAAAATAAATCCCTTCTACGAAGTCTCAGAATATTCCACTCATGGAAGCAGTACAAAATTTTATTAAGATTCCTACGACCTGCGAAGATGAATTGATCTTCTTTAGAGTTTTTTAAATTTAGTTTGTCCAAGTCTAAATTTAATTTCTTCAAATTTTTAAAAAAGTTGATTAAGCTATTATTATACTAAAACTAAACGCTTCAATTGAAGCATCATGTTGCTCTATTTCATCCCCGATTTATTTTAATTATATCAATTTCGCGATAACCCAAATCTTTAGAATTTAAAATGTTTAATCTAATAATTTATTCTTCTCAGTTTAATATATTAATTTTATTAGGATAAGACCCCGTGATAAGAGATCTCGACTGCTATTGTGGCACTGGATTATTCACAAGACTCCAAACTGTTTCATATCGAATTAACTTCAACGTACAGTTTTTGTCGTATGCAAGTGAATGTTTAAATAATTCTGCACTAAACACCAACTATAATTCAGGTTCACTCTGTACCATCATGATGTGGGCAACGTTGCTGTCAGGACTCGTTCTACTGTTGGTGATATCATCTGGTTTTCCTCAAAGCGTTAGTGATGTCAAAGTATGGTGTCAACGAATTAAGGAACTGTCATAATCCAACTATCGGAATAAAAAATTGCTCGTTTAATCACAGGGCCGATGGAAGCGCAGTATCGACCTGAACGATGTCTATTACACGAAAATGCGTCAATATAGATTACCGAGTGAAGTTACACCGACCAGTTACCACGTGGATATCAAAATACCTTTCATCGAGAGCAACCAATTTAACGGCCGTGTTAAGATCAACCTTACCTGGTCCGACACTAGTGATAGAATAACACTGAACGTCCATCCGAATCTTGAGATTTCAGTAGTCGCTGTCAGACTGCTTAAATTACCAGCCGATGAATCGTAAGCAAATAAAACATGAGCATAATTAAGTAACAAGAATTTCATAGTTTAGATGTAAAACGCTATCTAATAATTTAATTTTTGTGCAAAGTGAACGCATTTTTATAACAGTAATTCTTATAACTCTAATAATAATTCTTATTATATTCATGTTATAATGATAATAGTAAAATATCGTTTTTTATTTTGTCAATAGTTCGTTCTCGTTATAATAACTTTTAAAATTATAATAGAACCTCATTTTCTGTCACCTTTGTGACATAGAATGGGAGACGAATTATATTTTAATATCGCACGGACCGAACGGCAGAATAGAAAATCCTGGTACATCATCTATCTGGAACAAATGTTGAAGAATGGAAGTGCCTGCGAAGTTGATATCACATACTTTGGAAATTTTACGACTAATGAGACTACTGGCCTTTACAAAAGCGCATACATGGATTCTGAAGGTCGAAAACAGTAAGTGCAGCACACAATATTTTTTGTTACTTTTCAAAGCAAAACTTAAAAATTATATACCTAAGTCATTAAATGTTTGCTTTGAACTTTTTGCAGAATATCATTAATTTATAATTTTTTAAATTTTTGAAACGTTTGTATGATATAAAGAAATTTAAAAAAAATGTCCTGTAACAGAAGTAACCAAAACAACATTGCTGCAACATTTCCAATAATACTGCAATATTACTGGAACATTGCGATGTTGCCACAATATTGTTGGAATAATTTATGTTATACAGGATAGAAAAATTTTTTATAATTAATGGATTAAAAAATGCGATGAGAACAGTGACTATTAAAAAACGCTGTGAGAATAGCGATTATAATTTACATTCACTTTTTATTTTTTTCAGCCCCTTTATCGCCACTTATTTACAATTAGATAATGCACAGAAAATGTTTCCCTGCATGGACGAACCACCTTATAAAGCGACTTTCAAGCTAAGTGTACTTTATCCTAAAGGTTTAACGGCACGCACAAACACGCCTACAATGTAAGATGTTAATATTGAACCTTTCAATCCCAGAGTATTATATTGGGCTCAATCGATTTCTAGTATAAAAAATATCCATTAAGTTCTGTAAATTGTTAGTCTAAATTTTGCAAGTTTACTGAGAACTAAATATCACTTTTACATCTTGTCTTTTTTTTAAGCTTTGCGCGTGAGTCGTCCGATAAGATTGAAGAAGAGTTTGCAGAGACACCTCGAATGTCGACGAATCAATTTGCCCTCGTAATATCTGATCTGCAGAACATCGAGCCTACGAAGGAAATTAATGAAATGAATGGGAAAAGACTGCAGGTGAAGGTTTGGGGTCGCAAAGAATTCATGGAGTCGTTGCTTAATGTCCCTAACAAAGTTGTGAAAGTTATTAATTATTTGCAAGATTATTTCAATACCTCCCTTGGTCTACCGAAATTGGACCTCATGGCGATTCCCATGTACAGCACTTGTAAAGCTTCCGACAATTGGGGTCTCATGTTCTTCAAGTATACAAATATCTATAAGGATAATCTTATATTTCTGCGAAGTAGCACATATAAAATAAATAACTTTTTTCAGGGAAAGCGAACTCAGTAGTTCTCTAGTCTGGACCACTGCGAATGAACTTCTTTATCAATGGATCGGCCAATCCGTTACACCGTATCGTCGAAACGATGCGCCGGTTAACAAAGCTCTTAATTCGTTTTTAGCATCCATGGCAACAATCGACGTAAGCCTACGATATCTTTTTTTAATTGTAGCGATATTTTTTACAATGTTTTCGTAGTTGCTGTAAAATATTATATAATAAATAGCAAAAATTAGTATTTTTAATTATTCTATTTTGTATTAAAAATTATGATACGAATTTCTGAGAAATTAATTCTGTACTTTAAATAGCTCAATCCGAATGAGATGGAAGGAAAATGGCCGATGACAATGTTGTATCCTTTGTATTACGAATTTGCGCAGACAGCACCTTTTTCAAGAGTAGCTGGCATCAGACAAGAAGCAACATGGACTAAAGGTAATTAAAGTGAATTACAATAACTTAATATTTTTATAAGACGATGAATTATAATTTATTTATATATTACCCATAAAGCTGACATTCAAGGAAAAAGTTTTAGTATCAAGCGTATAGTATGAAAAAGTAGATAATTGCGAATAACTATATATACATATATTAATTGCGTACATAATTTAAATAAAAGAATAACCACAAATAAATAATTACGCGTATGTAATTTAAATGAAATTTAAAT